GGGGGGGGGGGGGGGGGGGGTACTCGACGCGTCACAATCTGACGCAGATGGAACCTTGGAAAAGCAACATGTGAGGACTTGGGAGTGAGAATGGGTTGTACTATCACATGTCGCAGTGGATTCTCGACTGCGAAGGACATGACAAATCAAAAGAAAAATACGAAGCAGCTGGACTTGCTCTGTAGCTGAAGACGTGTGAAGTTCCAAAATTTAAACGACATGACTTGAGGTTGTGCAACACGACCGTTCAGACCGTTCATTTAGAAAAACATCTGATATGTATCAGATTTAGAACCACAAACTAAAACGTCTTGGGTCAGATTTGTAAAACATGATTTGTCACATTTAGACTGTCATGAAAAAACATGATATGGGCCTCATAGGGACAAAAAAAACTTAGAATTGGGTCACATTTTGCCTGCAGTGTGAACAGTCTTCAGCACAGTCTAAATTTTGTAGGGTCAAAAACGACCGTCTCAGCGAGATACGTCTTGCACATAAATTAAGTCTCGAGGATGTTTCATAATGACTGTAGGGGTCCTCAGACTCTAAAGTTTTACACGTCTTCAGAAAGATGTACGATACAAATTTTCTCTCAAAGTAGTCACAAAGTTTTCACAGACTTCTTAAACTTCTTAAAGTATTAGAAATGGATTTTAACAGCTGAGATCTTCTCTGAAAGAAAAACTGGTCCAAGTCTAAAACCTGATGGTAAGAAGTGGGCCTAAAAGAGCCATTTTTGGTCCTGTTTGTCTCTATTTGGCCCAGTAATGGACTTGAGACCTGCTCTGGTTAAAAAATGTCTTCTTGTGAATTAAACTGGAGTTTATGAGGTTTGAAATCATTGATTTTTGTTTTATTTACATTTAGAAAATCCCATGTTTTTCAGAATTGGGGTTGTTGNACACACACACACACACACACACACACACACACACACACACACACACACACACACTGAACTGCAGTTGATGCTCCTCCATGATTCCTCCTGTTTGTGGAGCTCAACAACAGCATCAGTTCCTGCACACGTGCACGTGCACCAACACGCGCACGCGCCTCTCTCCTGAGCAGTGAAAGCCCCTCGGACAGTATTTGTTGTGTCTGTGGACAGAAGCCCCCCCAGCCCCCCCGGCTGCCGGTCCCGGAGCGGATCCGGTGCTTTATGGACCTTCTTGCTCCGGTCCTCCGGTTGACTCCCCCCTCCTCCCCTGGCCCACACCCAGACAGGATGCTTCTCTTTGGGGGGGTAGAATGGGGGGTGTTTTGCTAAAGCTGCCCCCCCTCCCTACCTGTTTTGTAGAAGGCATCAGTGTCGGGGTCGCTGGGCGCCTCCTCGGCCGCTTCCGCGGGGTTCATCCCAGAATCCGGTTCAGTAAAACCCTCAGGACAAAGGACGGAAGAAACAAGCCGCGGGCTCGTGCTCCTTCTTGCTCACGTGTCCTCCGGGCGCTCGTGCGCCTCCATCAGCCTCTCCTCGGGCTGCTTTCTTCGGTTTGTTGCCTCTTTCAGGGCAGAATCCGTTCCTGTCTATTGTTCCCGGTCCAGGCTCCCTCCCTGCTGTCCGCCTGGCTGTGTGCGCCTCCCTCCC